ATGTGTTCATGTAAGACGATATGTTTATGTGGACTATAAGCTTGTGAACTAGCACTGATTTCTTACTTGATTTGGCTCTACTTTTTCTGGGTCCTTTTTGTCGGACTTTGTTGTCATGGAAGCGAAAAAGTGATCCTACTCAGTGTCGTAAGTCTGTTGTTAAATATGAAAAAAAAAAGAAGATGTATGATTTTCAATGAGACAACTATCCACCAGAGAACACTTGACGTAGATTTAAGCAACAATGGGTCACTGTACAGCTTCAACAATGAGTAAAACCCATACTGTATAGTACATTTGTAAGTTATAAAAGACCCCGATATGATGTAACAATTCCAACGAGAAAACTAATGACAAGATTAATGAACGAAACAATGAACGAAAAACAAACAGGATAGACAACAACCAAAGACCACTGAATTGCAAGATACTGACTCTTGACAAGCACATACAGGATGTGATGGGTCTATAGATATAAGAAGATGTGGTATGAGTGCCAACGAGACAACTCTCCATCCAAGTCACAATTTGTAAAAGCAAACCATTATAGGTCAAAGTACGGCCTTCAACACGGAGCCTTGGCTCACACCGAACAGCAAGCTATAAAGGGCCCCCAAAACAACTAGTGTAAAACCATTCAAACTGGAAAACCAACGGTCTAATCTATATAAAAAACGAGAAACGAGAAACACTTATGAACTACACCAACAAACGACAACCACTGAACATCAGGTTCCTGACTTAGGACAGGTGCAATCAAATACAGTTGGTTTAAACGTTTTAATAGGCGCCAACCTTCACCCGAACCTGAAACAATAGTATATCATCACAACATAGAAAGACACACTATATAATATCAATTGAAATGGGTTAACTCAATCAAAAGACACACCAACAAAAACAAGTGAACATACACCGAACGAATAAATTTGATCTATGACACATTGTAAATACAAAATTAATAAAACAAGGGGATTAGATGTAAAACAATATCAGAAAGACAACCATAACATAGTTGGGAGCTATCAACCCTTTTCCCTAAATTGGGATAGTGGTGTAACAACACATAATAAAAAAAATAAAGAGCTGCACAATGAGCGCATGATACGCCCGTCGCCCTTTGAGCTCTTCTTTATGCTTTAACTGAATGTATATCATCAATTAGAAATAATGTGATCACTGCTCAAATAGATCCCCCCCCCCCCCCCCTCCAAAGAAATGTTATTGTCCGATAATAAATAGAAACCCTCCCCCTTTTATGCATAAAGTCACAATACTCAAAGACTTAAAATAATATTGTTTTCAAAATCGAAAGGTAGCTTACGTCAATAGGTATAAACAATTCCCCAAAGTTTCATGAAAATTGGGACGCAAAGTACAGATCTGAGTTTACTCGTAGTTACTTAAAACAATTTTTGTCTTCATTTTACAAAAGTTAGACAGATGCTTCTTCGTGATCAATAGACAGTAGCCAAAGCAAACTTTTATTTTTCTTCTTCATTTCTTCATATTTTACATTAAAGTTTTGAATTTTCAAATATGTTTGTCTAGAATGTCACTGAACAGACATTAATTGTCGAATTGCTGATATGCTGCATATAATTTGTACCATTAATGTGGTGTTAGCAGGTTCAGAGTCATATCGCATAAACATATTATAGTCCTGATATTCATGCAGTATTTGACACTGGACGTTAAACATAAATCCCCCCTCCTGTCGGTCCAGATAGAATACAGACCTCATTATTTTCTGCATTCGAAGTTATCTAACAGATACCTCGATGTGCACCGTGGTTGTCTAAATATTACTCTGTGGCTTTTTTCTTCAATTCACAGTTGTGACGTGATCGTCAGTTTGCAAAGAATTCTGCTCAAATCAGTGCTAGGGGTGAGAGTATTTTTTCTACATGCCGAAAGCCTCACTTTTACTTTGAGCAATAAGATCGCTAGTTCTGTGCATTTTGTGTTTTTTGCTGTGCTTATACTGATTTTGTGTCATGGAAGGATACCCCATATCATTTCTTTTCTACTATTATTATGTGATATCCTTTATTTCAAGTTAAGGTTGTTTGACGTGTTAAAAGGTTATGTTTGTTTATATTTGGTGTGCAGTTGTAGTAGGATTTGCACTTTTCATTTCCATGGAGATTATTTGGTTCCAATCCCTCAGTCATGGTTGATTGACTTTAATACTTTTAATTAACTTAAATGTTGAAAGTTTCTTAGTAGGTCAGTTTGAGTGAACCAATAATGATAAGTCATTGATATTTGGTATGTAGTTGTATGTCAGAGCCATGGTTATTGTTTAACCCAGCCCCTCAGTTATAGTCTAATGATTTTGAAACTTTTGAGAGTCATGGTTCATCGACTTTTGATGTTTTACATAATTAACATGTGTATGCATTGCAGAGTTCTCGATAAGTGGTGGTCCTAGGGATTTGACCACCACATATTTGGGAAGGACCAACACAATTTTGGTAATTTGCAATAGAAATGATAGTGAGGACCTGCATATTATCTTCAAGGACCACCAGGCAAAACAAGATTTTGAGAACTCCGGCATTGTCATTTAATTAACTACGGTAACAAGATTACATACAGGCAAGAAATACGTCTACAATGTATGTCTTAAGTTTAATCCTCAAATGTATACCAAAGGTTTATATCAGTTATGTCTTGGATAAATTATTTATACAGGAATTTTGTCACTTTCAAATGTATGAGTTAGAAAGTAAGTGCTATTAAAAAAGGGGCGAACTATACCAGATGGACAGTCAAACTCATAGATCGAAAATAAACTGACAAAGCCATGGCTAAAAATGAAAAAAAGACAAACCGACAAATAATAGTACACAAGACACAACATAGAAAACTAAAGACTAAGCAACACGAACCCCACCAAAAACTGGGGGTGATCTCAGGTGCTCCGGAAGGGTAAGCAGATCCTGCTCCACATGTGGCACCTGTCGTGTTGTTCACGTTATTACAAACCCGGTAAATAGTCTAATTCGGTAGGTCACATTCATAAATATATGTTTACAGAAGTTATTCCTTGAAAATATATATTGTAAGGAAAATTGCATTGCAAGCAATCCCAAACAGGTCTACATTTCTTGTAGATTATTTATGAAAATGTTTAAAAGAACAAACACATTTTTTATACGACAGCAAAACAATTTTGGGGTCTTATATTGCTATCACCTCACTTGAAGACATTTGGTTTCCGGACAATAACTTCAGTTTATGTGTATGGATGTCTATGAAATTAGATTTAAAGGTTCAATACCACAAAAGGAAGGTTAGGATTTTTTTGGGGGTGATGGTCCCAGCTGTGTAGGAATTAATGGCCAAAAAAGGACCCAAAACAAGCAATTTTCTAGTTTCAGGACAATAACATGTAATTTATTGTTTATAAGTATTTTGATTGCTCTGAAATTGTACCACAAGTAGAAGGTTGGGCTTCATTTTGGGGTTAATTTTGCCCAAACCGTTCAGGAATTAGGGTCTAAAAAGGGTCTACAATAAGCATTTTTCAAGTTTTCAGACATTAACTTGTTTATATAAAATATTTTTTTGGGGGGTTGGGGGTTAAAAAAATGGGGGGTGCAATTTTTTTCCTCAACATTTAAGAAATTAAAAAGAAAATTTCTTCAAATATTTACCAAGTATTGTGCAACAGCACAGTGTATTGCACAAAAGCAAGAATTCTTCAATTGAATATAAATTCAAACATATAAACAATTTCAAGTTCTTTGACTACAGTACATTTATTCTGTGTCAAATACTCGATTACAATCCAAATTTAGACCTGTATCAAGCTTGAATATTGTGTCCATCTTTGCCCCAACTGTTCATGGTTGGACCGCTGCAGTCGTATCCAGCTGTGATTTGTGAAGCTGTTTATTGAATATAAAAAAGAAGATGTGGTATGATTGCCAATGAGACAATTCCCACAAGAGACCAAATGACACAGAAATTAACAACTATAGGTCACCGTACGGCCTTCAACAATGAGCAAAGCCCATACCGCATAGTCAGCTATAAAAGGCCCCAAAATGACAATGTAAAACAATTCAAATGAGAAAACTAACGGCCTAATCTATATACGAAAAAAAAATATGTAACACATAAACAAACGACAACCACTGAATTACAGGCTCCTGACTTGGGAAGGCACATACATACAGAATGTGGCGAGGTTAAACATGTTAGCGGGATCCCAACCCTCCCCCCTAACCTTGGACAGTGGTGTAACAGTACAACAAAAGAACGAACTATAAAAATCAGTTGAAAAAGGCTTAACTCATCAGATGGTTTATTTTGCTTTTTGACAGAAAATTTATCCATCTATTGGCAAGATCGATACATTGAAAGGTTGTTCTTTTATAAAATGCCTGAAGTACGGATGATAACACAAGTGACAACATGTTAATATGTTCATGAGTTTAATCTTTCCTAAATCAAAATGGCCTATATTAACAATTTTGCTATTAACTTGAAACAGTAAAATAAGATCTAATAAACATCTGACAGTAATGCCTGAAATGATTTTTTAACTGTATACAGCAGAATAGATCAGTTTAACCAGTACCGGTTCATAGATATAGGAAGATGTGGTATGAGTGCCAATGAGACAACTCTCCATCCAAGTAGCAATTTATAAAAGTTAACCATTATATGTCAAGGTACGGCCTTCAACACGGAGCCTTGGCTCACACCGAACAACAAGCTATAAATGGCCCCAAAAATTACTAGTGTAAAACCATTCAAACGGGAAAACTAACGGTCTAATCTATATAAAAACGAGAAACGAGAAACACTTATGAACCACATAAACAGACGACAACCACTGAACATCACATTCCTGACTTAGGACAGGTGCAAACAATTGCAGCGGGATTAAACGTTTTAATGGTACCAAACCTTCTCCCTTTTCTGAAACAGTAGTATGACATCACAACATAGAAAAACACACTATAAAATATCAATTGGAAGGCTTAACTCAATCAAAAAACGTAGTTCTGTAACATAAATTAACACACAATGAACGAATAAATTTTAACCAGTACATATATATTTATAAGCTAAACTGTTGATCTTCTTTCTGTTGTTTCCTTACATATTGTTTCCATTCACTCAAAACTATATAGTAAAGGTATAAATTAGTTAGCATCAGTTCATCATGTTCATACTAGATCTAGTTTTTGTCTGGACTTCTTGATTAAATTATTTAGATTTACAATTTAAGCTTGTTAATTACCAAATGAAAGAAAAATGCAGTATTAAAATCACTGGTGGACAAGTACATGTAGGTGTGAATGTCCTGCAAAAAGAACTGGTATCAAAGTAAGTTCATCTGTATAATTGCAGTTAAATTTATTGATAAGATGTAATCTATTTAAAACTTTTTCAAGTATAATTGTACATTTTCGATGTCAAGTATGCATCAAGGCATCCTTACCCTGCTCCCCTCCTACGCTCCACACACACACTCTCTCTCTCTCTCTCTCTCTCTCTCTCTCTCTCTTGAGATGTCAGAAGTTCAAATAATCATATACATTGTAGCATTTACATTACAAACCTACATTGTCAGACTGGCCTATATTATGAATTGTAAAGTTAATTGTTCTCGTTTAGAATACATAATATATTTGCCTCTGGACATTGAAATAAGCAACAAAAATCAACCAATTAATGTTTTGCATTATCAGAATGAATTTGCATATAACAATTAAACTATGAACGTGTAACCTTGGAGCTTTTTCAATGAACCAGCATATATATATAAAGAAATGAGGTATGATCCCCAATGTGTTAACTATCAATTAAATGACCAAAGGACAGAGATGTAAACATTTACTGGTCACTGTACAGCCTTAAACAATGATCAAGATCCATACCATAAAGTAACCTATAGGGATGAAAAAATGTGAACCAATGAAAAAATTAAAACTACATGCAGTTATGACTGCTGACAGCAAACAACATAAGAACCAACTTTCAAAATTAGCCAAAAAGGACTGGACTCATCAATAGGTATATATGTACTTAAAAGGAAAAAAAGTGCAAAAATTATGCTTTATAAACTACAATATCTATCAGTTCACCAACGGATTTAGGGGTACTAACAACATTAGTCATTTCAAGCAGTCTAAGACATGTAATTAGAAAAATATGACTGTGAAATGCCAAAATATTGAACATAACAAGGATATAAAACCATAACATAGTACCGGTACATGTTAATAATTACATAGAAATACATGTTATGCTTTTTGTCAAGCTTGCAAAATTTATTTTGTGAAAGCGACACATCGAGATCCTAAATTCCTTCTGCGATTGGGTCAACATTTAGGTTCAGTCTGACATTAAAGTTTCTTGGACATCAATTATATTTTGTCAAACATACATGGAATTTTATGAAATTGGATGACATGTACTTTGATATATCTGCACACTAGAACAAACATTTTTTTTTTTTTTTTTTGCATAAACACGTAAATCATAAGTTATTGAAACTTTCCGCATAATTCCATTCAATGTGCATCTCCTGTTTATGCCCTTGCTGTAGCGGAGGGGGGCATTAAGTTTTACCCTTGTCTGTCTGTACATCCTTACATACTAACATTGCAAAATTTGTTTCCGTTCTCTCATTCTATAGACTATTAGTTTGCCTCAATCAAAAGTTATGAAACTTGTACACAATGTTTATTACCAGAAAACGCAGATCAAGTTTGAATTTGGGTGGCGTCACTTTAACCGTTCTAGAGAAATGCCTGTTTTCTTACTTAAGATTCTTCAACCAAATGTTATGAATCTTATACGCAATGCTTATTACATAAGAAAAAAGATCACTTTTGGATTTTGGTAACGTCACTTTTATCATCTAGAGTTATGCCCTTTACAAATGGAAAAAATCAGCGTTTCCATTCTTTAACTAAGAGTTTGCATCAACTAAACATGCTAAAGTTTTGAAACTTATACACAATGCTCATAATAAAATGAACCACAAAACTCAGATCAAGTACAGATTTGTGTAGCGTCACTTTTACTGTTTTTGAGTTACAAATGTATGTCCCTTTATTATCTTATATGCAAGCTTGTGCATCATCTGTTTCCTATGGACACATTCCCCATTAATTTAAAAATAAAATATTTTTAAGGTTTTCTTAACAAAAGCATGCACTTTGTCGTTGATTTATTTCGCAGAAGGGGATACCCATTTTGAAAATGCAACTCCTCCTAAACCCCTTATTAGAATTTACTGAAACTTTCTCGGAATCTTTAACCATATGGGCAATAATTTGGTATTTGAATCATTTCCAATAACGATAGAAAAGTGATAACTTTGTGTATTTGGGTGAGAGAAGTTGTTACTCCACCTTAAAATGCCTTTATTTTTATTATAAAATCGATGTCTTCTACGTTCCCCTAGAGAGAATTCGGAATAAACAAATTATAAAGATAATGCAGCCGCTTTTGTGTGTCGTTTCTTAGCAATATTTTCTGATCTTGACCTCATTTCATTTGTCAATGTTAAGTTTTTGTGTTTTGGTCTGTTTTTCAAGTATTACAAGTATTAATTGTCAAATTTATTTGGTGTATAAAAAAATTGTAAGGTGTATTGTATATGTCTGTCTGATAGGATTTATCTGACCTTCACCTCATGGTCAAAGATCTTTGAACTGTTACGTTTTTGTGATACTTTTAGTAATTTTACCCTTTTTCTTATAGACTTTCAACATAAAATCAATGGTCAGTAAAGCAGGCATGACATGTCAGTGTGTGCACTCGTATTGAGGTACTGGTTATCCTTTATAAATATATATATATCAAGATAGGCCTTTAAATTACAGATCTGAAGAATGAGAAAATCAGTTGTCTTTATTATCGATGATAAGCTTAATGACGACATTTGACTTGATGATACAATATTTGTCTGTCATATGAGTTGTAGGCTTAACATGCTTTGTAAATACTGGTTCAATCTACAGTTTGCATTTAATAGCAGCCCTTCCAAGTTACTGCTAAAAGCTATTGCAGTTTGATCAAATTCCTCCATTGTTTGGTTTATTGATACTGTTTCTGCACATTAATATATGAGTACACACACAACTTTGTTTTGAGATTTGATAAAAAGGAAAGGCTTACATTTGACAGCAACCTTACAACAAAAAGTACAATAAACATAGACAATACAGCAGTTTTTTTAACATTCCAAAACTAACATATGCATATACGGTGTAGGCTGTTTGAGACCTCTTATGTAAAGTGTATTATTACACTTTTAATTATTATTAAACTAATTTATTGAAATTAAATTTATATTATTTATAAATATTTTATTTCAGTGAACATGGGGAAGAATAACCAATACAGGATATAGAAAACTACCTCACAAACATGGGAAATATTACAAGAAAAACCCAATATTTTGATTTACGAAGAAGGCATTTATTTTGACATTCATGTAAATGTTGTACTAGGAAAACTGAAGAGATTAAAATGTGAATAAAAATCCTTGGAAATAAAGTTAGAAGATTGAAAATTATATTTTGGTGTTCGTACTAAGAAAGTTTGAAGAAAACAGATACATTCAAAACTGTAAAAAGGAAACTATACACCATTCACAATCACTCTTGAGATCAATTACTCTTGATATATAATTCAAAGATCCTATAAAAGTAAAAAAAAAAATGGTTGAATTGCCAATGAGAAAAATATCCACTAGAGTACAAATGATGGGTCACCATATATCCTCCAACAATGAAAAAGAACCCATGTATAGTGAGCTACAAAAAGACCCAGACATGACAAAAGAGAAAACTAATAGCCTTACTTTTAACAAGTTAATATGTGAAAACAAAATATGATATGAACGAGAGGCAAGCACTGAAATACTTGGGATTATTGTTGCTTTACTTTTGAATTAATGTAGTATGTTTAAATGGATTTTACCTCGGAGTTACCATCACTATTCACCTTGTTTAACAACAATTTATTGTACTACTGAAAGTTCTTTACCAAAATCCTTGTATATATATTGCATTAGAAACAAATTTTAGTTGGACACTAGGAGGATATAAGGAAATGCAGAAAAAAATTATCATTGCCTAAAAATAAAGTACAGCATTTTGGCATTGACTGTTCCATCAAAAGTTCTAGCAATACAACTATGACATAAAAATCAAACGGTACAAGTATATATATATTTTTTAATTTCACTATATATTTGTACATGCATATCAAATGAAAGTAGAAGATGCCAAAAGTTGTTAAAACATTAACAAAAAGAACTAATCAAAGCCAGATAAAAAAAAAATAAAAAAATCACTACATAGTTTTACCATAGCTACGCATGATAATCAAGTGTTTTGATTAACGCATGATTCTCTTGCGTAAATTTATTCCATGTAATTCGCACGCAGCTCTATACGCATAGTTTACATGCGGGAGTCGTGCGAAAATCATGCGTAAATGTACGCACGATTATCGGATGTAGCTCGAATTGGGCGTTTTCTGTGGAAAAAATTCGCATGATATACGCATAATTTTCGCACGATAATCATGCGTGGCACATTTACTAGTGTAGAAATGCTTTAAACATCATATTGAATGAGTGACAACATTTTTAGTTGCACTATTATAAAATAACGTTCAAAGCTACTTGAACGGGACTGAAATTTTAAAGGAGAATTAAGCGGTTGATATTTAAAGCACTGTCGACAATTTGATTTTTAAAATTCCTAGGACATGACTACGGCTAGCTTGAAAGGAAACTTTCATGACTGTGCAAATCAAATATCATGTACTGTTTTTTTTTTTCCGCCAGTTTGTTCACACCAATTCGTATTTATTGATATATATGTTTAGGAGAGCATATTGTCGTTGGTTCATGTCTGTCATATTTGTTTTTCGTATATTGTTTTGTTATACATTAGGCCTTTAGATTTCTCAATTGAATTGTTTCATATTTTACATGTCGGGGCATTTTATAACCGACCATACAGTATTGGTTTGTCTCATTGTTGAAGGTTGCACGGTTGCCTATAATTAGTTACATCCACTTCATTAGAACTTTTTGTTGATAGTTGTCTTATTGGCAATCGTACCACATCTCCTTATTTTTATATATGGTAATGTTAGTACCAAAAACCTCCTTCAGAATTGTAATCGGTTGAGAAAGGCTTTGTTTAGTGAGTGATGATTTTTGCATCAAAATAAAGTGTATCCAATTTTTTATGTCTAGTTCCCAGGTTTCCATATTGGTTGTTGTCCATACATTTGTACTCTATTATCCCATCGGGTTTCTCTTACGTTTCATTAAGCAACAAAAGATATCGAGAAATAAACAATACAGAACAGCACAACAAGATGCACCACATTAAAAAAGAACTCAAGAAAAAATTACCAAAAGCATCCCCTAAAAATAAATTACTTCACAACCTATCTAGAGTCGAGGCGACTGTCTATCTTTCAATCACGCATGTAATAATTTTTTGTGTTGTTTGGCTACTGTCTTATTGACGTTCATCCCACATCTCTTTTTAGAACTAATTACGTACAATATGCATGCCCTTATATATATTTCAGAAATATAGGCTCATCATTTCCTGTCGTTTTTCTCAATACTTTATACTTCCAAATATTTTTTCTTAAATTTATTGCTCTGTTTTACGTTCTTGTTAACATGTAATATACTATATGCAACATGCCTATGAAAATAAAATAAAAAAGAAAAGATGTATTTTTTTTTTCTGTTTCCATTTCGTATTTCGTTTCTGTCTTTTATCAACAACCCTTTTTAAATATAAATCAGTTTTAATTGATTTTCTGTTGAAAAGAACCAACCAGTGTTAGAAAGTGATTGTACTATTTTCCGTTGCTCAAAGTTCGTTCGCCACAATTATGATTTGGATGGAATGGCAAAGGATGGATACATTAAAGTTAGTGACAACAGTTCACATGATCCTTCAAGTACTGGTCTAAAACATAGAATTTGCTCAGAGATTCAAATTATGGTGGTCACATAAACAAATTTAGTTATTTTCATTTTTTTATTTGACAACTTCATATTTTACAATCATACAACACATGTATTATACTTATGATATCATTTGCATTATATGCTATTGATTATGAACTTGGGTACAAATTATGCAATTCAAACAACTAATAGGAATTCGGGAAAGCATATACGTTGAAATGGCAGCAATATTCGTGTCTCAAAATTTGTGAATTTTAAACAGATGTTTTAACAACTTTTTAATTATACTAATTTTATAAAAAAAATGTTGACACCTAGAATAAATTTTGAATAAATCATTATGTCTTTATATAGTGTTATGCCAAGCTTTTACAAATGATGGGTGAATTTCACCAATTAGAATACCTTCTACGAGATAGATATCCTGTGATAGTGAGTTTTTTTTTCAGGACTAAACATATTGAAACTAATCACTGAAATATAATGCAATAACTTGTTTGGGGAAGAATGTCTGAAATGTGAATATAAATGTTCTTTTCAAATTTTTTGCTTTAATTTTGGAGAAAGTTTTATAAGTGTGTTTGTTTAGACTATTCTGATCATCTACACATATTTTGATAGTTTTGATAATTCAAAATAAATGTGTGAAAATAACGCAGTAACTAAATTTTCATGCTTAATATTGAAAAAAAATAAATATATGAAATTATGCAAAAATGCACCCGGACTGCATAAACAAAAGGAGTAAAACTTCCTTTACCGACAGTGATACATAAGTTGTTCGAAAAGAGTATACATTTTTATGTATCAATTTCCAAGTTAACAAATATTTGACACTCAAATGATCATTTTATATTCTTTATTTAACTCAATTACTTTTTTTTTCTATATCTTTATTTCCTTGTTTTATTTTGTTTTTAATTTTAGATACAGATTCACAGAGATGGACATTCTAAATTTTCCTCTTTGATTGTTTTCTGTGTTGTAGATGAGCTATATCTTGTCTGTTTCATATTGGGAGTAGCAGCAGACATATACAATTACCTACCATTTGTCCTACACACAATGCTTAAAATATTTAAAATAATTCAGATTGACGAAGTCACATTTATATCTACTCATGCGCAAATAATTTAGATAAAGACAAACTTCTCATTCATCTTTTATTTAGTAACACGGAAACATTTTACTGTAATTCGGAATTTAAACTTGGGGTGTCATTGAAATATGTCCTGCATTGTTATTTACAGATTCACATTTCAATCAGATTTAAGATGCCTTAAAGTAAGTAGTTTCTTTTTTTTTCTTCAACATTACACTCGACAATCGATTTCATTGTCGGGCTATAATTAATTCACGAATGTAATTCGGTTTATCGAGAAAACATTATCGCAAAAGAATAACAAACGGTGGTCAAGCATTGCGATCGGATCGTGATTGCAATTACGTGTAATTCTACTTCAAAATTCAAAATCTGTCAAAATCTGCTGTATTTTCAAAAGGTGGTACAAATCAAAAAAAAAAAAAAGAAATATGTCTGTCAAAATGATTCAACTTCCTTAATAATACTGTGCACTACGTTAAATAGTCCAGTAAAATAAAAACATGTTATTACTTGTAAAAGTTCATATAATTTTTAATCAAAACTGATCGTGAAAGATCAGCACGCTTTATTTAGATCGTGAAAGACAAGACGTGACCAGACGTAATGATAAGAAAACAACATTTCTTTTACCAATTGACATACGTTTAATTGGTTGAAGCGTGTAATTACTTACTATATAAGAACGTAAATTGATGCTTCCGATTTTTTTATTTTGGCTAATATATATATTTTAATATATTGAACTAGCTGTCAGTAGCTGCAAGTACTCTCAGATCTGTACTTAGTGTCTTTTTCTTGTGGGGATGATCAAGTACCCGTTCACGTCCACTTTGTGTTTTTGTTAGATGTATTTCTATTTGTATCTATCTGATGAGTTAATCCTTTTTCAACTGATTTTTATAGTTTGTTCTTATGTTGTACTGTTACACTACTGTCCAAGGTTAGGGAGGGTTGAGAGCTCACAAACATGTTTAACCCCGAAACATTCTTTATGTGCCTGTCCCAAGCCAGGAGCCTGTAGTTCAGTGGTTGTCGTTGGTTCATGTCTGTCAAATTTGTTTTTCGTAAAACTGTCTTGTTATAAGTTATGCAGTTAGTTTTCTCAATTGAAACGTTTCATATTATATATGTCGGGGCCTTTTATAGCCGACCACACGGTATGGATTTTTCTCATTGTTGAAGGCTTGAAAGTGAGTTTTTATCCTGAAAAATGTAATGTGCTATCCATCACAAGAAAGAGAGAACCAACCACAATGAAGTATTACTCCATGGCCATGAACTACAATATGCGACAGTAGCCAAATATCTAGGTGTTTCTATAACATCAGATATGAAGTGGAGTGGACACATTACAACCATCTGTAAGAAAGCGAACAACACAATGAGCTTCCTCAAAAGAAACATAAACATAAGAAATCCAACACTGAAAGGAAGAGCATATAAAGCACTAGTGCTACCA